CCGGTAGTCCCGGGACGAAACGCAAAACTCTCTTTTCATCCGCCACATTGGTGACTCCGATGTGATCGAAGATGTCGAAGCAAAACGCGCTACACTTACAGCCCCGCAACCAATCCGCGTGCCTCCGATGAAGCCGCAGATGATTCTGGTTCTCCTTATTGGAGAGACAGCTCGAGGCAGCGGGAATCGAGATAGATATACAGATAAAAAGCTCCTGCTCGGGTGCCTCGAACCAGAGTACTTGAAGCGACTGGAGCATGTTGATTTGGATTCCTCTGTTGAGTTAGTCAGTATGACCGGTTAAAGGAGGAGCTGATACGGAGTCTGGCCGAATCCGACAGCGAAAGGGTAAAGAGGCTAGTAGAAAAAGAGGAGGTGATGGGCGACCGTAAGCCATCCCAATTCTATCATGATCTGAGAAAGCTGGCCAAGTCCCTTGGCGTCGGAGCAGTTCATCCTTACTCTATGGAAAAACCGGCTACCCGATCGTATACGGCGAGTAGTTTTGGCGGTTATTGACGACACGAAGCCATATAGAATAATCTAGGCCGCGGATAGAGTGGAGGAAGCCTGTTCAGGAAGTGATCAGTGGGAGTCAAGCGTTTCAACCGGTAGCAATCGAAAAGTTCATCGATCGCTGCAGAAGCATTCGGACGCATAAGAAGTATCTACGGAGTTTCTTGAGAATAACGTGTGCAGGATAGATCGTTTCGAATATCACGAAATAATATAGACAAACTGTTTTTGTGAGCAATTTGTTAAATATATATTTTGTGTATGGAAATTAATTCAACACAAAGCACAAGTCCAGGTACGATATATCTCACGAAATAAATACGCGTTATCATCGAGAAACTCTGTTGATACTTATGCGTCCGAATGCTTCGGCTGCGATCGATGAACTTCATGCCCGTAATTTCGTCTGTTTATTTATACTGGTCGGGGGACAGTCGGAAAATTTGAACTCGACTGCGTTTGACGGCTGAAAGTAGCGGCGACATTGTTTTGCTCGGAGTTCATTACTCCTTACAATACCTGTGACCTAACGGTCATGCTACTCCGAAACGAAACAACAACAGGATTTGAATTGTCCTGCTCGCGTACCGCTACAAACATGTATTTATTCTGCGTCTGTGTATCGTACTAGGACTTGTAATTTGTGCTGAATTAATTTTCATGTACGAAATATATTTAACAAATTACATACGATAATAGTTTGTCCATTTTATTTCGCGATACTTGAATACACATATCCTCCACATGTACTAAAAAAATATCGTACAAAAAATTTGTAATTACTACAATAAAACTATTAATAAATGTTTTTACATACATTTCAAAATAACGTCCTGAAACCTGTTGTTTTATGTCAATAAAGATATAAATTAACGCTTCTTTGATTGTATCATAATCTGAGGTATAAGAATTGGAGGACTAAAGATAATAACTATTCCCTTACTTTGCATTTATAAACTTATCGTTACGTAACACTTTTTCATCTTCTTTATGCAAATTGTTGCACAAAATAAATTTGCTTGATTAACAAACTTAAATTATTCAATTATATTGTCATGTTATTGATTTTGCGGGAACATTCGTGTCAATGTTGCACTTACACGTTGCACCGACGTTTCATGAATATTGCATTCTATTTCTTCAGGACAGACTTGGAATTTGTTTCAATACATTTTACCATCGTGAAAGCTTAAAATTTAATATTATTTTTATAAAAAAGTTCTTCTAATAAATATAGAATATTCCATTAAGAGAATCATATCGTGCTATATCTAAAAAGATGGATTGAAAACGAATGAAACTACATTAAATTCTGATCCTATAAAAGTGCTAAAATATACGGGGTGGTTGGTAACAGGTGGTACAAGCGGAAAGGGGGTGATTCTACGCGAAAAAAGAAATCGAAAATATAGAATAAAAAGTGTTCGTTTGAGGCGTTGTTTTCGAGAAAATCGACTTTGGATTTTCGCTCGGTACGCGTGCGATACGTTATAGCGGATCTCACCGTAGATCGTTGTCTCGATGGAAAAATTAAAAAAAAACAAAAAAAAAATTTTTTTTAATTTTTATTCTATATTTTCGACTTCTTTTTTCGCGTAGAATTACCTCCTCGCTTGTACCACCAGTTACCGATCACCCTGTACATATAAAGAACCAAAGGATAGACCAAATTAAAGGTTAATAGCTACTAAGAGAATCGTAACAGAATTTTTATTGCAAGTGAGACGATCGTCGGTGAAGGTGCCCACAAGAAATACTCTTGATTTTCAACAATAACGTTCATTAAACTCTTAACAATTAACAACAAATAACGATTAACTACGATTAACGATTGACAACGGTTAACGATTAACAACGAACAAATAACAATTAACAATGACCATTAAGAGTCAATAACCCGTTTCTCTGATTGTGTTGGCTTCGCTTAACCTTTCGCACTTCGTAGCTCGGGGCAGAATGAATCTTTTGGTTCAAAGCCAAACAGATTCTTTCCTTTGTTGCCTCTCGATATCCCCACTACGCGCGCGTTTATTAGACGTCCGCGACGGTTGCCGCATATGCATTCTTCCGAATATTCGGCGAAAGAACCGTAGGCATATCGATGGCACATTGGGCCTGTCAAGCCTTACGCTTTGTGTCGCGGAGCCGTTGGAAATTTCCGTGGTCGAGTGCCGCCACACAAGTAATCCTTGAGCTTTGCATTAAAATCAATCATATATTCCATTAAGGGGGTATTCTAGTCTAGAAATTTGAAAAAATCAGACATTTTTTCATATTTTCAAAGTTTAGACATTCAAGAGTATATCCTCAAAGGGATTTTTCAAAATTCCAATTATTTACCGAGTTACAACAATGATTTTGGTGACGCGGCAAGTAAACTGGTCCAACCGGAACAAATCGAACAATAGACGGTAGACGTTGCGAATGCATGAAAGTTTGTCTTTTTTTTATACGTGGGGAAATCCTCATAGACACCCCTCTTTCCCCGCTCTTGGAAGCGGCGAGGTAGTGTCGGACTATACCGACTAAAACTCTACGGTGGACCGCCCGACGCTCAGCTGGAATGCCCCAGGACCTCTTTCGAATTGCTGCTGGAGCACTCCTGCGTCTTCTCCTGCCTGAGGGAGTCGTTCCTTGGTTTGGACATTGAGAGGGACCACCCCTCTTAACACTATCCCCTGAGCCGTCGAGGATGTAAGTTTGTCTGCAAATACCTTATTAGAACGATGTTTGGGTTCTGAAACTCAGAATAATAACGATTCGTTAAATTCTTTGTTATGGACTTTTGCTCCGAAACACATTCATGCAGGAACGCGGATCATTGAAATTGCTACTTTTCTCGCTGTTAGTATTTTGAATGAAGGTTTTATTACCCATTTAAAAAATATTGGACGTTACGGGAATTACGATTGGTCCAGAAGCCATGCGTTTGTAACGTCAATTCATATTAAAGGCCGGATGTGTGCAGGTCTTCACCGCGTACCCTCAATTAGCCCAGGGACCCACCATAAACTTAAACTTTTAGTTTATTATTTTTGTGTTATCTGTTTATGGATGGTCCTTGAAACAACCCTTAGGTTGTTATACGTCCTTACTAATTACGGGGAAAGCAGATAGTTACCTAATGGGAAAAACCCAATACTTGTCTAACGAAAAAGCTGGTTTTTCCCATAAACAATATTACCTACTAGCCACGTTGGTAGGAGGCTTTCTCCTCCTATCTTCATTTATTAACATGACCTATAACCAATTGGCATCGTGGATCGTTACCCTCACTTTTCTTAACGGAAGGTGCGAACAACGAATCCGCGTTGTTAATTAAAAAGGCCACACCCACACCGAGCTTTCCTCCGTAATGAGACGAGAACACCTAGGGAGAAATAGAAAAAAGACCATCGAACAGTGAACATCTCTCCGATCAGTGTAAACCTGTGCTAGAAAATAAAGACAGTAGTTGTGTTACGACTCAGCTACTTTATTTCATCAACCTACCCTTAAATTTACGTGACACGTTCGCTGTCAAACGGGACGAAACTTGGATCGAACGTTCTGAAATCCGAGTTTCGGATGGTTCAAAGGAAGCCGCCAGGACTGCTCGTCTACACGAAAGAACTTCAGAGAATGAACATTTTGAAGTGGAGGAAGGCCCATTGTATGGAGCAGAAATCGCTGATTGAAAGTATGTAAGTATACCGTACCATTATACGAGTAAAACTGCCTGAAACTACTTAAAACTTCAAACGCGTTTTTCTCGAAACTACTTTTTTCAAGCTTTCAAGAACCGATTTATTTGAAATTTTATGTGAACCTTCCCTATACATCCCTCTATGTCGCTTAGCATATTAAAGTCGAACATTTTAATTTTTACTATTTTTAAAAAATTTGAAACTGTTAAAAAAAACGTGAAAAATTTTTTTTTCAAACGGCCGCCATTTTATGAAAAAAATTTTTTTACTTCTCCGAGGTAAAAGCGATAGCGACATTTTTACTGATTAAGAATCCGTTTGATTTTTTGTTTCAGATGACCAGAAGGGTTGGAACCATGCACGTGTCGCGTAAAATAACACACACACAAAAAAATAAAAACAAATTTAAGATGAAAAATAAAAAAGAAACTTTACTTTTTTTCTAACACGTGGTTTACAATTTGCTTCCGAGCTCTAAGCGTGACTTTTCAAGACTGACTCTTACAACTCGGTTATTTTTCTTTTGTCACCCCTCACTATCACCACTGTCCTCGAGTTTGTTAGGCGTCCGCGACTGTTGCCACGCACGCCTTCTTCTCGAACATTCGGCGGAAGCACCGTGGGGATATTGATGGTTCATTAGGCACTTCGCTTCAGCGATATATATTGTTGCCAAGTGTTGACACCTTTATCTCCGGTTTTGAACTGAGCCGGTCGTGACACAAGCAAAGATTTATTTTAGCCATAAAGCGGAAACGAAAGTGAAATATACAAAGAGTTATAAATATTCAACCCGATGAATTTAATACGAAAATTTTTATCTTAATTATACAGTATGTACCACACATCGGTGAAACAATAAATCATCATGTAATTACGCAACCCTGTAATAATAAAACATAGAAAAGAACTACATTAGACAAAATTCATCGATTTTGTGTTTATGGTAAAATGATAGTGTTTTAAAGATTTTAAAATATCCGTAAGCTAAGATAACAACTAACATAAGCTAACCTATGCTTTTGTAAATAAAACTCTAAATTCTATTATAAAATGTTTAGTTTAAAGAACGTTTAAATTTTAATTTCACCAAATGTAATACAATGAGAAAAATACAAACACATGAGTATTGCCCTGAATTTTCCCTTATTCCTCATGTGCAAACTCTTACAAAATTAAAGCTGAAATATCTTTTAAACAAATCACTCTTTGACCTAAATGTCTTGTAGATTAGGCATATAAAAAAGTTCGTAGTTCTATTTGCAAAAGTGTAGATGATAAGATATTTAAAACGCCATCACTTTCGGAATGAACACACCGGAAAAGAACTGTGAACACACAATAGAATTCTTTTCTATCCTTTATTGTTTCAAGATCGTAACTTGTGTAAGTGGTGTGGGATGATATCCTGTATACTAACACATAATTAATTAATTGTAGTTTTAATATTGATTTAATTTGTTGTCCTGTAGTTGTTAGTCTTTTTTGTTTTCTTATTTTTTATTTAGTTCGATGCGATATTATACTGCGATATCGAAGTACGTAACTGTCTTCCTTAGTTAAAATGTTCTATATAACATTTTTCCATTTTTCAAGATATGTTAAAATATTTGAAGGATTGTTTACCTCTAAAGTAATGTTGTCTGGACAGGTTTCTATCAAATAATAACTGAATACTTTAGATTGGAAAAGGAAAATCAAAGATGATATAAAGAAAATAATAAAACCTCGTTTTTCTTTAGTTTCAAAGTGATAAATTAAGAAAAAGTTTTCACTGAACAATTTGTAATTTGGAATATCATTCAAGTATTATTCATTGATTACATTTTCAGTATTCTTCTAAATTACTACGTTCTTGAAATGATTAAATATTAATAGTGCCATTATAAAATGTAGAAAACAATCATACTTGAACAAAAATAAACAATCAGCATTAAACTCTGTGGATAATAGTAATGTGAACTGTGGTGGTGTTTGATGTAAGGTGCCAAAGAAATACTCGGCGATGTTCAACAATATATTTATTCAATAATCTTCGCCTTCAGGTCGTTTTGTACAATTCTTGTTTACCGCTGACTTTCTCGCTTCTCGATTATCCTCGTTTCGCTGTTAAAACTCGAATCTTCTCACTTCGCTGTTTAAACTCGAATGTCTCTTTTAACCGATTCGTTTCTTTTGTTGCCCCTCGATATTCCCACTACGCACGCGTTCGTTAGGCGTCCGCGATTGTTGCCGCGTACGCTTTCTTCCAAATTTTCGGTGGAAGGACCCTAGGGATATCGATGGCTCATTAGGCATGTCGGCTTTACGCTTCGGTGATATGCTTTGTGTCGTGAAACCGTCGGAAAGTTTCGTCGTCGAGTGTCGCCACAGAACAATATCATAATATTAAATTCTGTAAACACAATATAAATATTTTTTAACACTATATTTTACTTTATGGCCTTTATTTTTTTAATTTTCGTTTTCTTCTACGAGTTTCTATATAAAGATATTTAAGAAATTATTAAGCGAATAGAAATCTAATTCCCTATTGACTGCTCATATGATTAAATACTTATAACATGTCCTATTTCATATATCTTATTATTATATTATTTTGTATGTCCTACAATGTCCTAAGTATCCACTATGTCTCAAAATATTCATTAAATGGAGACTATAATAAAGTAACTAGTGTACTTCATTTCAATAGACTGAACTTTTTATGTTACTGCAATTTAGACTTATAGTTACGATACTTTTAACCAGTACTTTACTCGCTTCTAAATTTGAATTTTTCTTTCTCCAGACCAATTTAAACGGCAAGAAAGACATAAAAAACAGTACGAAAGAACATTTTACTGACTTCTATGATTGTCAAAGGTTTCATTGTAATTGTCCGTTTTATAAAGATTCAGTTGGAACCGTAAAATATAATTAAATATATTTTTAATTAAAGTTGCTAATTTTACTATAATAATTATTCATCTTAGGAAAATTTTAATGTGAAGAAAAGTATTGATAATCATTGTCAAATAGGTCTATTAAATTAATACATCCGCGCCGAAGCAATTACACAATATGCCGCTACTGATGACGGAGGTAAACGACACGTCATGTATGTATATCTTGTAATATCGAGGACGAGGGGCCGGGGGGGGGGGCGTGCGAATTATAAACAAGCGGTTGCTGAGCATGTGCGTGGTGCGGCTAAAACAAAAGATATAAGGTTAAGACAAAAGACAGGGGGTTGCTAAGGGACGATAAACGAATTAACA